TAGTGTGGATAGGGAAATGGTCACTGTGGGGGGAGTGGAGGATGCGGGTGGAGTGTGGGCGGTGAGGGTCAGAGTAGAGAGCTATGTAGTCAAGTTTCCCTCCCCCGATGTGGGTGGGTGATGGAGGGCAGAGAAGACGTACAGGGTCATCGGTGGTTTGTAGGTAGGAGAGCCAGGAGTTACCCCGGGAGTTTGAGTGGGGCCCTTGGGAGCCGAGACTAAGGTGACGGGCATTGAGGTCCCCCACAAGGAGGGTGGGGGTGGAGGTGATATGGTGTGGTAGGACAGGTACAGTAGGGGTGGAGGGAGGCACATAGACATTGACAATATTGAGGGACACACCTTTTAGTGTGATTGTGATGGCATGTGCGTCGGTGGTGTCGTCATCAAGGGGGACGTCGAGAGGTTGGTAGGGGACATCCTTCTTGACGTAGATCCGTAGTCCACGTGCATGGCTTCGTGGTAGTCCGTCGATGCACATAGGTACCAGCAGCACACCGCGTTTCTTGGAGGCACAGCACGTCGACGTCTTCAGTGTAGACGTAGGTTTTGAGGGCACCAAACTTGCTTTGCAAGCCGTTTATGTTCCAGGTGAGTACCTGCAGTCCTGTAGCGTTGCTATCCATTGTGGTGTATTAGACTGATTACCCCTGACGTGGACGGATGAGCCTTAGGTGCTGGCATGTCGGTGGAGTATGGGTAGCCGGGGGTGGAGTCCTCAGGTCCAACAGGTAGCCCTGGTGGAGACAGCACAGACACAGGAGCAGGCGAGGCTTGAGGTGGGCTCGGGGGCCCCAGTACACACAACCTGTGAGCAGGGGGGGCTCACAGGGGGACTACCAGCTTGTGTCAAACCAAAAGAGGGGAGTGACTGGGTGGCAGCAAAGGGCAGGAGTTGGCGGTGTAGGTCGGAGATGGCGGTACAGAGTGTAACCAAGAGTTTCTCAACAAGACTGGTAAATTCTTGGAAGAGGGATATGATCTGTGTCATGTCACTGGAGACGGGTTGTGGGGGGGGCACTGGTGGCGGCACAAGGCTTGACAGCGTCAAGGTAGAGACGGGGTTGTGGGGGTGCACTGGTGGCGGCACAAGGTTTGACAGCGTCAGGGTAGAGACGGGGTTGTGGGGGGGCACTGGTGGCGGCACAAGGCTTGACTGCGTCAGAGTAGCGACGGGGTTGTGGGGGGGAACTGGTGGGAACACGAGGCTTGATAGCGTCAGAGTAGAGACGGGGAGGAGGCTCAGTAGTGGTTGAGTTAGGGAATGGTAGGTGCTGTTGTGGTGCAGCCTGGTGAAGCCAGGCAGGGGCAGGTGACCCAGTAGACTGAGGGGGGCGTTGTGGTAGACGCAGCCCTTGGGGAGGCCTCTCCCCTGGGACAGAAGGGCGACTGGGGCACTGCCGTGAGTCAGCATTGTGCCGGCCGCCACAGTTACAGCACCTGGGCTCAACTACATAGCCCACACCACCCCTATTAAGGTGGTCTTTGATTTTCTGGGCACAGGCGGCGGAGTTGTGGTTACGTGAGCAGAAGCGACATCTAGGACGATCACGTCGGCAGCAGGCAGTGAAGGTGTGACCCCAATGAGAGCAGATAACACAAAATGCAGGCCCAGGATGATAGGGCTCTGCATAAAGTGGTGGAAGGATTGGATGGGCTTCCACAGTGGTTGGACATACCCTTCCCTTCCACTTGACAATAACAGCAGCTTGTGGAGTGTGTCCCCGGTAATGTCGACGTATACTGAGTATATTAGAATTAAAGTCACGTGCATCTTCGATGTCAGCGTATAGGGGGAATCGTTTCACTAGGATGTGGCAACATTCATCAGCGTCTGCTGGAGGGGCCACTAGGACAACCCCGTCAAAGCCAACAGTACTAAGGGTTTTATAGACTTCAGGAGTCTGACACTTGATAAAGTTCCGGTTCTTACCCTGTCGGAATTGAATGTTGGGACCATGCTGTCTGCAGTACTTCATCATCCAATTAAACCGATCCTCGACAGATTTTAATGAGTCCTTGGGAAAGTGGAGATTCAGCTTACTTGTTTGTTTGGCAGAGGGCAGGGTGATAGGGTCCATGGCATTGCTGTTTCCACTGTGGCTAGTGTTTCCCATAGAAACATTACCGTCACTGTCATAATCATTGGGGTCTGACTCTTGAAGGGTGTTGGATTCAGTCAAGACCTGCTGTGTCTTATTCCCAGTTGAATTCTTTCTGCTTCCTTCTGTGTGTGTCGTCCTTTTCTTCCTATCATTCATGATCTCATCACTGTCGCTTCCTTCACTTTTCTTCGCCTCCTCTTCTTTTCTTTCTTACTAATCACTTCTTGAAAATTGTCTATCACTTCTATTGTTGTTGGCCGCGGATCGTCTGCTTCTGATTCACTACTTGAAAGCCTCAGGTCGTCTTCTAAGTTGTTCAGTAGGGCAATCTTTTCTACTTTAGCCAAAGCCTTCATAGGTTTCTGCCCACCACTCTCCCCAGGCATTGTGCAATGCTTGTGTTCGGTCACAGGCGAGATGGAGAGGCAACGACGTCACTACCACGTCATTCAACGTCACGCTCTTCGCACTGCGCATGCGCAGATACGAAAATAACCGACCAGAGGGTCCAGGCAGGCAGTCCAGATATTTTATCTAAAATATTGTCTAAGTCCAACAACTATAAATTTCACAAGCGACACTGTGCTTACAACTGGGCTCCACTTTAGTTCTCTAAACAGACTGAAGGTAGTCGTCTCACTAAATTCATCAGAATTGGGAATTGTAGGGAGAGCTCATTCACAGCCTTTGTTGACGTTTCACGGTGCGCATGTCGAATGACCTCACTAATTACATGAGAATTGTACCCCAACACCTTTTACAAACTTCTAACGAAAGTGGAACCATATATAAAAAAAACAGGATATCAATATGAGGGAGAGTATATCTGCAGAGGCTCGTCTAGAGGCAACGCTCATATATCTTTCAACTGGGTGCATCTACACGTCACTTCAGTATAGAACGAGGATATCAAAACAAAGTTTGTAGCATAATACCTACAACTTGTCAAGCCTTGTATGAAGTACTCAAGGAAGATTACTTGCAGGTGAGATTTGCAGTACATAAAAATTCATTGAATAATGTTAGAATTATGATATGCATAGACAGGAAGCTATGGGACTAGAGTGAGGAGAGCGGCAGGAACGAAGAACACACACGAATGTCCTCATTACATAAACATTCTCCCGTTTATTGTCACGCCAATAATGTACATTGCATAAGCTTATTTGGTTATACATTGGACATCTGGACCGAGCGGGGAACATATACGTATCACATTTGGAGTACTCAGTCGTCGCTCCATATCCCGCAGTAAACCACCAGGCGGGCGGACCATGACTTCGCTCAACGACGGGCACGGGCACTGGCACTCAGCTGGTTTGCCCGCCAATTTTGCCCGATAACGGGCATTTAGCACGTGCCCGCCGGGCACTGCTCGATCGTGTGGACGGGGCTTTAGGTAGAGCAAAAACGGTCTTTGTAAACCTTACTGATGATCAAGCTTGTTAATATGATGTGTTGAAGGTCGTTGTTCTTAAAGCTTATGTATTTTTGTTCGTGAATCTTGTATTGATTTTGTTGCCGTTATATTGGCTGCCTTAAAGTAATGTTCATGTCTGTTATTAGTGGTAAGCATTTGTAAATATAGTTACATTTTCATTTGACTTTTACTCCAATCATCAAGTATTCATTTATTAAAAGGGGTTACATTCAAACCATACATTATACCATAGTTCTCGATACAAATTTAAGAACCATATATTCTAGAATTCCGCCCCAAAGAATGTAGAATTCCCCGTAGAAACGTTAGGATTCCACCCCAGAAGACTGTCAGACTCCGCGCCCCCCGAACAAGATAGCTAGGTACTCGCCAGCATGCCGATTCGAAGGAAACTAGAAAACTATTAAGGGAAGAGGACACACAGGAGATCCAAACACTAAAAAATTGATGGATCATTTAAAATGAACTACAGGATTAGGCTGGAGTTTCCCTGTGCAGGTTTGAGGAAGTAGAGTAACGATACGCGACCCATTAACACTGGCAAGACAGATTAAATTTAGTATCTAGTCCATGGCAGAGAACCGATTACAAAGCGATATTACCTCAAGGGTAGAGATTATTTGTTCAGGTTTTAAGATGAACGAAACCTCACCACAAATTGTTTGAAGCTACAGAGTGGATCATCTACAGAGAACATGAAGAGTTGCCCATACGACTTTTCTTGGAGGGAGGAAGGTTATCCAGTGTTCATCCCGGTAGAGCGGACACAGTTTAACCCGGTAGAGCGGACGCAGTTTAACCCGGTAGAGCGGACATAAGTCATTCCAGAGGGAAATTTAAGTTTTAAAATTGCCAAAATCGACCCAGAATATGGATGGTTTAACTATAGTAGTATTTGGTTTAAACTACAAATCGACCCAGGAGAGAAGTGATAAGAAGTGGTATATGGTTATATTAAAGTTTATTGTACAAACACGTATTTTTTATATCTAAACTAGCACAAGATAAATATTTAGAACCTCCCAACTTAAACCAGGTTTGTTCAAGTGCCCACATGAACTAAGTAGGAAGGTTATGATGCTGTAGGGTTTCGTGATATAATGTTGTCTAGCACTCAGGATGGATGGAAACTCTAAGGTGGTTTTCTTATATAATATAAGTTATATGGTAGACAATCTGGTGCTGGAGGTGCCGTGTGGTGAGGAGCTGCTCAGTAGACACGTTCGGTGAGTAGCGTGTTGAAGGAGGTAGATGTGCAGGAGCTTCGTTAGAGATGTTGCCTGTTGCTGGCCTCCTGGTTGAATGAAAGCTGGACAGCGAGGAGCTTCCTGGTAGGAGGTGTTGCGTGTTCAGGAACCGAGAGCAGAATGAAAGCTGGTTGGTGAGGAAGCTCAGAGAAGGACAGCTGGTGGGTCGCCATGCTCGCTGGCAGGAGCGAGGACCGCCAGGCAGGCGGAGGAGAAGCGAGGGCCACCAGGCAGCGGCAGAGGAGGAGGTGTTGCGTGTTCCAGTCGAGAGGCCAGAATGAATCTCAATGGAGAGACAGAGCTTATATACACAGCAGCGGTGAGTCAGCCGTGAGTCATGTACGGAAAACCCAGGAAGTAGCCTGTCTTTTGACTGAGTTGCTAGGATACCGTGGCATCTGGTGACGCCCCCCCCCCCCTGGGCCGCTAGTTTGGTTGCTAGGGAAGACGTCGCAGGTGGCCTGCAGCTACGCAGTTGTAGGGGAGATGTCCACTACAATGCCATGGCTGAAGCTGAATTAAACAATTTTCACCGAGCTGGACTAAATTATTCCCCCCGTCGCCGAAATATGGCCAGTAGTCACTCCAGATAGATCTCACGTGTCTGAAATAAAGAAATAAACGGGGATTAATCTTAACTACTTAACTAGGCTAACCACCACATCATAACTGTTTAAGATATTTCATTTTTGTTATTATTTTGTTCTATAAAACTTCATTATGTGTTGGTTATCGTCTTGCTATTGTTAATTTTACTGTTTTTTTTATATATTTCTAACTTGTTTTACCGGTAGTTAAGGAGGTTGTAACAATCATTAGCGGGTTGACTGTAGTTTCTGTGTACCCTTAGAATTGGTTATGGTAAATTTATCAAAACTTGAAAAACCAGATCACAATTGACTTTTATTTGAAAGATATGAATACAAAATATAATTATCAAAGTTGGAAGTTTCTTTAAATTTGTGACTTTTACATAAATAAGCATCTGAATCCCTAGGCTAAGTAATGTTGACTCATAAGCTCATATAATTTTTACAGTTTCGTAATAAAATAAACAGATTCAATAAATGTCTGCCTGGGTTCCTTCTGTATCTACTATATAATTCATTGGCGTCTTTAACAGTGTAAGCAGCGGCCTTTATCTTTGGAAACAGACCATAGGCAGTATATAAGTACCACCAACATATAGGCTTTATTAATGTACAGTATTGCTAGTGAGAATACTTCAAAATTTATAGTTAATACATCTATAATTTTCTTTAGTCCCCCCAATAAAGAAGTCATTTTCTTTCTTGATAAATTCTTGAATTCCATATATTATTCAGTTATTTCACACCAAAAGCTCATTATATTTTCACAGACTCTACAACATGGTAATATAGTCTTATTTAGATGGTAATAAATGATTATCCAAAAGGCTGTTTATATTATCAATAAGTAATAAGGGATGATATAATGAAGGTGAGCGCCATCTATGAGTTAACAGCGTCACTAAACCCCTTCATCACAGGGTACAAGGGGGAGTTTCTCGTCTGGTGGGTCTGGGGGTTCCTCACCAACCTGACAGCCACTGGACACAAGGACAAGCTGGAGGACGGAACATGTGTAAGACGACCTGACAGCCCTGAAAATATCCGCCTGAGGCATTGGTAAGACATTTATTATTAATATTTTATCAGATATGTAACGTAAACATTACTGAGTAGTTGTTGGGGTATTATTTGGGTGGGAAAATGTGCATTTATTGGTTGATTTAGTAGATTGTGGTGGTGACAGACTGTATCGGTATAGTTTCACTTGTTACCACTATACGACATCAAAGTTGAAACAATGTTATTCTTGTGGTTTTTGATGTTATGAACGAATTTAGGTAAATTAGTGCACACAACTCTGTTAGAAAGTAAAATATATGCTTTTCTGGTGTGTTTAGACTGGTTATGACCTTCATTTTCGTCGGAAATTGGACGTTTTTTCTGTTTTTATTTGGTGGGGCATTTTCCGACACAAATTATGGGCCTTACTGCGTATACACACCGTTCATTCCTACCACTAATCTATTGTCATATTCTATTAAGACGTTTAATTATAAGATAATTTTCATCTATTACATTACCGGCGGAAATGTATAATAACGGAGATAACACATCCAAAATTTTCTTTATTTTCGTCCATTAATCTCCCGCCATTATCGTCTGCCTCTCCCCCAACACTGCTGTCTCCTGCGTCTCCTTGATAAATCATCACACGTTCCCATACACGTCACGCGGCCGATAAAAAGCGTTTGTTTTTCAAACCAATTCAAATGATTTGGGGTTTAATTCGAGGTATATTTGGCACTATCAAATTTGAGCTTTACTTTGGGTCTCATATTTCAAAATTCAAGTTGTTCCGACCATGGCAGTCTGCGATGAATGTCACTTCAATTATATGGAGCTGATTGCGAGTTTTGGGGGAAAACGTAGAAACTGTAGCATTTTTTCGATCGCGTGGTGTTCTCCCAACCTCAGTAAAGTGTACTAAGAGCAAGACAATGTAAATATCGCAAAGACCAACATATGTGACGTTGGGTAAGAGTCTCAGAATGCAACGACGAACAAGAACCAGGCCAATAAGGTAAGAAATAGGTGATTCCATCATAAGGTGAGAGTCAGTTAGGTTAGGTTAGGTTTGGTTAGGTTAGGTTTTTGTTTTTCTAGTGTTTTTTTGTGTATTTTTTAGTCGCTTAGCCACTTTTTTCGGAAAACGTCAAACGAAATATAAAATTGCCAAAAAAAAAAAAACCCGGCTAATTTCCGTCAAAAATTAAAGTCAAATTCGGTCTCAACACACACAAATACACTAAAAAAATATATTTTTTACTTGCTAAAAGTGAACGGTGTGACAATGCAAATTTACCAAATTATGGCAAAGCAAATGCAAAAACTTAACCTAACTGACTGTCGCCATATGATGGAGTCACTTATTTCTTACCTTATTGGCCTGGTTCTTGTTCGTCGTTGGATTCTGGGATTAGTACAGGTTGGTGACGCTGTTTCTCACTTAACGGGGTATAGAGAGAGACCCAAAATAAAAACGAATTTGATTGGGCCAAAAATTTCACGAATTAAATCACAAATCATTTTAATTGGCTGTACCGCAAAGAACGCTTTTGATTGGCCGCGTGACGTGTACGGGAACGCATGCGTGTGATGATTTATGAAGGAGACACGAAGTGTGTTATGTGAGGTAGGTGATAATGGCGGATGATTAATGTTAGAAAATTTTGGATACATTGTCCGTTTTTACACATTTGTGACGGTAATGGAATAGAAGAAATTTATCTTATAATTAGTCGTCTTATTGGAAGATGATAATAGATTAGTGGCAGGACTGTTGTGTGCGGAGATGCAATAATACCCGAATTTAAACCTACATCTTTGGTACAAATGAAAGTTGGTAAGTAGAGAAGGTACTCAGCCAATTCAGTAATCTCTAATATGTTCACATTCGTTTCCATTGGAGTAAATATCAAGAAAATTATACTTTTTAATATTTGTGCATTTTTTATACAGAACTGTACGTCGTTTATGAAAAATTTCGAGCTCTACCACCAACGAGTCGTTACGCCGTGATTAATGGGTACTCGTATTAGCCAAGGGAGACTTATCCTGGTCTGTGTGAAGTGTCAGATAGCTGTGAATCCTTTGTGTCATCTTGGGTTGTAATTGGCCATCCTGTCATCCTGGCGGTCAGTTGCTCAGGGATAACTGTTCGTGTTTATTTTTCATCGTTTTACCGTGTATCTTACGGCCCATAAGACGCACGGCCATATAAGACACACGGCCATATAAGACACAGCTATATAAGACACACGGCCATATAAGACACAGCTATATAAGACACACGGCCATATAAGACACAGCTATATAAGACACACGGCCATATAAGACACACGGCCATATAAGACACACCACGGCCATATATAAGACACACCTATATAAGACACACGGCCATATAAGACACACGGCCATATACGGCCATATAAGACACAGCTATATAAGACACACGCCATATATAAGACACAGCCATAAGACGACACGCACCATATAAGACGGCTATATAAGACGCACACGACCATATAAGACACACGGCCATATAAGACACACGCCATATAAGGCAGCTATATAAGAGACACGGCACGACCATATAAGACACACAGGCCATATAAAGACACGGCCAGCACACGGCATATAAGACACAATAAGACACATATAAGAGAACACGCAGCCATATAAGACCATATAACACGCATAAGACACACGCCATATAAGACACACGGCCATATACACACACGACCACACGGCACATATAGAGACACGCCATTATATAAGACACACACGCGACCATATAAGACACACACGCCATATAAGACACACGGCCATATAAGACACACGGCCATATAAGACACACGGCCATATAGAGACAGCCGGCCACATATAAGACACACGGGATATACAACCATATAAGACACACATATAAGCCACAATAAGACACACGGCCATATACACACACGGCCATATAAGACACACGGCCATAAGACACACGGCCATATAAGACACACAGCCATATAAGACACACGACTATAAGAACACGGCCATATAAGACAAGACACACGCCATATAAGACACACTATAGGACATGACCATATAAGACACACGCACATATAAGACACTATATAAGACACACGGCCATATAAGACACACGGCCATATAAGACACACATAAGAGACACGGCCATATAAGACACACGGCCATATAAGACACACGGCCATATAAGACAGACACACCATATAAGACACACGGCCATATAAGACACACGCCATATAAGACACAACTATATAAGACACGCTATATAGAGACCACACACACGGCCATATAAGACACACGGCCATATACACGACCATATAAGACACACAGCCATAAAGACACACGACCATATATAGACCTGACACATCATATAAGACACACACACATATAAGACACAGCCATATAAGACACAGCTATATAGACACACGGCCATATAAGACACACAGCATATAAGACACACGGCCATATAAGACACACGGCCATATAAGACACACGGCATAAGAGACACGGCCATATAAGACAACATGACACCGGCCATATACATTAATGACCATATAAGACACATATATAAAGACACGGCCATATACGACACACGGCCATATAAGACACATATATAAGACACAGCCATATAAGACACACGACCATATAAGACACACGGCCATATAAGACACACGGCCATATAAGACACACACGCATATAAGACACACGGCCATATAAGAAGACACGGCCATATAAGACACACGGCCATATAACACACACGGCCATATAAGACACACGACCATATAAGACACAGCTATATAAGACACACGACCCATATAAGACACACACGGCATATAAGCGGCCATATAAGACACACGGCCATATAAGACACACGGCCATATACACACGGCCATATAAGACACACGGCCATATAAGACACAGCCATATAATATACAGCAATATATAAGACACACGGCCATATAAGACACACGGCCATATAAGACACACGGTCATACACACGGCCATATAAGACACACACACGGCCATATAAGACACACGGCCATATAAGACACACGGCCATATAAGACACACACGGCCATATACATCATATAATGGCCATATAAGACAGACACGGCTATATAAAGACACGCGCCATATAAGACATATAAGACACGCGCCATATAAGACAGACACGCGGCCATATAAGACACGCGGCCATATAAGACACGCCATATAGCCATATAAGACACGCCATATAAGACACGCGCCATATAAGCCGCCATATAAGACATAAGACACATAAGACACGCACGCATATAAGACACGCCATATAAGACACGCGGCCATATAAGACACGCGGCCATATAAGACACGCGCCCATATAAGACACGCCATATAAGACACCGCCATATAAGACACGCATAAGACACGCCATAAGACCATACACACACGCCGACACGCATATGCCATATAAGACACGCGGCCATATAAGACACGCGGCCATATAAGACACAGCTATATAAGACGCAATGCTAGCTGCCGTTTTTGTTTACAATCTGTGTTGTGCACTACTGTACATTACTGTACTAGAACAAAATAAGCCAAGAATACAGTGTAGGAGCTGTGTTAAGAATGAAAAAAATGAATAGAGTTGAGTATACTGTTCCTCCCCGACTTACGACCACCCGCACTTACGACCCGCCTCGGTTGTACCAAAATTGTCAAATTACGTATTTTCGAGTCCTGCCGTCAGTGATCGCGCTGTGTACCGGCAAATTTTTCGTTTGTAATACACTTTAAAATGGCTGGCAAGCGTAAAATTGAGAGTTTTGTGGTGCTGAGAAGACAAAGAGACACCCATTTTAGATTTTCTATGTATTATTTAAGCATTTTCGACTTACGACCTGGATTTGGGTCCCTAACCCCGTCGTAAGTCGGGGAGGAGCCGTACAATACCGTACATTCAGTAAGTGGGAAACACTAGAGAACCTTAGCTTTTGTCTTTATTCAAGATAACTTCAGGCCAGAGACCCAGTTATCCCTCACCCGACGACGGATAACCCGACATCGTATCGGGAGGTCGGTAATACGAGACCGCCAATCCCCCGCCCGGAAATCTCTCGTCCCCGGAAGTGCTCTGCCCCGACTGTTCCGGGTGATGGGGATATCACTGTAGTCACTAGCGTAGCTAGGGGGGGGCGGGGGGGGGGGCGGTCCACCCCGGGCGGCACTTTTGGGTCTGCTCATCACCCATATCTGCAGCTACTGGAGACGTTAATTCTTCCCTTTGTATCGGCGGCAAGTTAATCCTTGTCGTGTCTGACCTAACACCTGACCCACATCATCACGGCCACGTCATGAGCTATGTACACCCTTGCTATGCGCCCCCTCCCCCACACACACAACCTGTAACCTGTTGAGGATTAAGGAAACAACTTCAAACAAGTACGCCAGTGAGCTCATGTGGTGTGGGTCAGGTGTTAGGTCAGACATGACGAGGATTAACTTGCCGCCCATACAAAGGGAAGAATTAACGTCTCCAGTAGCTGCAAAACCATGCAGTCTCGGGTCATATCAGTTCATGTACAGCCGACCAATCCACCAGTTACAAGCAATTCACTTCAGTTCTCCTCAAGTCTCCATCGTGACAAGACGAGGGGAGGCTAGACGACTTTTAAGTTCTCTTGTGTTTTCGATCCAGTTATTTACTTCGTTGGAAGACATAATACTATAAGGTAAGAAATATTAAAGTATTGGTTAAAAAATATTGATGTGACTTTTGCTGCGGTACTGAGATTAAATATTAAGATTTTGTTTCACAGCATTGCGATTTTATACTAAGACACTATCCTCACTGGGGTACAGACAAAAGCCCCCCCGACAAAAGCCACCCAGACAAAAGCCCCCTACTTTGATCGGGGTGGCTTTTGTCTGACAACAGTAAGGCAAACTATATATATATATATATATATATATATATATATATATATATATATATATATATATATATATATATAAAAGAGTGAGTCACTGTGCAATATGTATTTTTTGTAGGGTCACGGGGGCGGTAACTCAAGGGCCGCCCCGGGCGGCACACACTCTAGCTACGCCACTGACTGTAGTACACACACTGGTACATAGAGTAGTACTGATTGTGTGTTTTGTTGTGTAAGGTATAGGTATAATTACTGTGAGGAAGGTGAAAAAATAAGTTGACATTTTCCATTCCCCTTCATGGCACTGTTGCTGACCTTGTTTCTCTCCTCTAACAGGCCTTTGATAGGGAAATTGAAAAGTTTGGGCAGACTGTCTCGGTTATTGATGGAGCCTCACCCACCTCACTGTTCAGCTATACATTTGGTGAGTATTTTGTGTACAGTACCTCTGCAACTTGGTATTTTACGAAACATTTGTATATACTGTATAGTCTTCCATGTTGCTTGAAGACTGGGAGCGTGATCTGTTTCTCCTCCATCCTGTGTGAGTGCGAATCTCCGGGGGTCACCATTTGTGGGGTATGGGATGTTTGGTGTTCACTCAGGATGGGATGGAGAAAGGAAACTCACAATGTGCTCTCTGTATACATGTTGTATTGGATGTACAATGCAGCTTGGTGCTGGGAAGGCAGCATGGTTACAAGCGTTGAGTAGAGAGAGCTGGTTGGAGAGGGTGCTCACAGGAGGACCAGCCTGTGGGTCGCCATGCTCGCCGGCGGGAGCGAGGACCACCAGGCAGGCGGAGGAGGAGCGAGGGCCGGCAGGCAGCGGCGGAAGAGGAGGAGGTGTTGCTGGCTGGTTGGTGTAGGTAGAAAGAGAGCGATCACCACGAGGTCAGGTCTTAAGTAGCGGGGGGTAGGCGTGGCTTAGTAGTTGACCTCCGTGATGTATGGCGGCGCTGGTTGACCCAGACCACGAGGCATACACTGGGGAATTCGCGGGGTCGGTTATGCAGCGACAAACAGCGTTTGTAGGGGAGAAATCCACTACAGTGTGACTTATACCCCATCGGACAAAAATTGTCGAGATTCTACGAAAGTTGTCTTGCTTTAAAACTATTTTTGAGTACACCATCAGAAGAAATATGTTCCTACTCGAGCTCTACCCTGGTTAGTGGGAGATGGATCCTTCCTACAGTTTTACAGTGGGAATTTACTTTTCCAGTATAAAGTGTTTAACTACAAGCACTTTCTCTTCAAACGGCTGTGCCCAGGGACTATTCCCTGTAGAAAATAATGTATTATATTCTGTTCAAGTAAAGTTAATTTTTCATGGATTAAGTTTATATTTAGTTTATATGAAACCAATAAAAATTCAATTATTATTCTACTTGTGTTTTATGGAATAATATGAATCTTTTTCAATTTTACTGAATCAAAACGTTGGTTACAATACAACCTGGACTACGTCTATGTGGAAAGTTTGTCCAAAATAATTCTCGTAAAATAATCCTTTAAGGTATTAAATGCTTCAACCTCCTCTTGAAATACTGATATATTATCTTTAAATATAATGGCCTTTTCACAACATGGTCTACTAACAAAGATGAAATTAATGTGATATTTCTTTTCTAATCGTTCAAAATACTGTGGTGTATGGGTTATTGGTTCACACTCAGGATAGGATGGAGAAAGGAAACTCACAATGTGCTCTCTGTATACATGTTGTATTGGATGTACAATGCAGCTTGGTGCTGGGAAGGCAGCATGGTTACAAGTGTGATGTAGAGAGAGCTGGTTGGTGAGGGTGCTCAGAGGAGGACCAGCTTGTGGGTCGCCATGCTCGCCGGCGGGAGTGAGGGCCACCAGGCAGGAGGTGGAGGTGTTGCTGGTTGGTGTTGGTAGAGAGAGGTAGGTCACCACGAGGTCAGGCCTTATATAGCGGAGGTAGGCGTGGCTTAATAGTTGACCTGCGTCATGTAAGGCGGCGCTGGTTGAACTAGACCACGAGGCATACACTGGGGAATTCGCGGGGTCGGCTACTCAGCGACAAACAGCGTGTGTAGGGGAGGATTCCACTACAATACTACTTCTCGTATCAAGATTGAGAAAAACGAATAGTTTGTTCTTGGTAATGTCTGAGAACACCACCAGAAGTGGTCAAATACTAAATGCCAAACAAGATACAGTATTTGGAAAACTAAGCTATACATGAAATAACCTCTTTGGCCTAAGAGTTAATAGGCCACTACAGTGTACTGCGCAGAATCTGGCAGTATAACAATACTAAATATTGACCAGAAGTCTTTCAATTTAAGACTAAAGTTCAGTTGAAATTTGGGTAAAATTATCTTATTGGTTATATAGTGAATTTTAGGACTTTAAGGCTGCAGTTACACCAAGCACATCGAGTCATTTGACTTGACTCATTCCAGTTCACACCGACGGAGTCAACCTGAGTCGTCAGTACCCAGACTGATTTCGAGAATGGACGGATATTCTCTTGATGAATTATCTGTTGTGGATTCGGCGTCACAAGACCTACAGCAGAAGCTATGTCAGTTCGTGACATTCTGAAGGAATATTTTGTATCCCCAGGTAGGGCTATCGAGTGGCAAGATAAAATGATCCACTAATGTGTAGTTACTTTGAGAATAAAATTGTCTCGCCTTTACATTTCAATGCATCCTAAGTCTTGGTATCTGCAGTTTAGACCATTTTGTTCTATAGCATTTTCGTCCGTATATTTAAAGTATTTTGATCGATAAAATTGCCACACATAGTTACCGGTTTAACATGAGCAGGGCTTTTAAAGTTAAGGACAAATTTGCACTAAAAAGAAAAACCAAAATAAAATATGCCAGTTATGATTGCACTAAGTGTGAATTCATTAAAGACCAGCAGATTTGATCAAGTGGTGGGGATTCTCGTACATTATGGAGCCTGTCCGTGCTCGGTAATTGACAATAGCATAACTGACCGCGCAAAAGGGATAGAGTAATGCACCTATGAGGATCTTGAGGTGTAGGCTTGTGGTAAAAGGTTAGATCCGGTATTAAAGGTTCCACCCTGACATAAGTGAAAACAGATCTGACGTTCCAACCAGTTACTGTAAGGGAGGAGGATTCCTTATTTGTTAAAGGGTATATTGTTTTAACAGTAAGTAGAGATGGTGTGGTATCTAAAGCTTTGAACAGTTACCCCACTGAACATATTGAACAAGGAGAGTCCTAGTTTGTTTCTATTGCATGTAGTTACTCGCAGTGCTCATAGAGAAGAGTGTCAAAGAATTACTGTACCTAAAATCTTGTCTGATTACACATTCATAGTTTTTATTTTATCGCTAAGGAAGGACTAAGCTTACAAGTAGATAAGTCTGAAACACATCTTATTGAATGGTGGAAGTCATGGGTTTTATAATTGTTCTGTGGGTATGTGAGGTCCCCTAGGAGGTACCACTACACCCACTGCTGTTTACGTGCATCTTACATTTCCTGTGTACTCGCCTCTGAATTGTTAGGTTAAGGAAGAAACCGGATTCAAAGGACATTTTTTTTCAGAGGATTAATATTCACAAAACCAACTACAGGACTAACAATTTAATTGGGAATTAATTATATGAATGCCAATAACCGTTCACCACTGGGGTAGAAGACAAATCTGTGAGCTGTACCAACAGAAACCATATTTTTTGTCTTCGATCCCACTCGCATTAACAAGAAAATCTGACGAGAATCTTCAGAGGACAGCATCTATACTGTGATACCGAGTGGAAAATAAAACATATCTGATTTAGCCTTGACAGCAGTAGCGCGATGGTCTATTTGGCAGTGCAGCAGTACGACTCTCAGAAAAATAGTACCGTATACCCAAACATATCTGATTTGGCCTTGGCAGCAGTAGCGCGATGGTCCATTTGGCAGTGCAGCGGTACGACTCTCGGAAAAATAGTACCGTATACCCAGTTATATATGAAGATACGAGAGGTTGAGAGAGAGCGTGACTATATTCACATTAAAGCCTTTTCGGTTCACGTGCACTTGGTACTATACCGTTTGTGTGATTATCAACAGACAAAGTGTTTCAAACATCATAATTTGTTTAATTGATAAGCGAGTGGTAACTTACGGCATACAGTTGTCTCGAACAATTTCACGTTAACTGATGAATACACAGATACAAGGTTAATATATACTGTTGTCAGCTCGAATGTGTGTGTGTGTGTGTGTGTGTGTGTGTGTGTGTGTGTGTGTGTGTGTCACCTCAGTAGTGTCAGTATCCCGTGATCGGGACTTGGTTTTCAGTCGGATCTTTAACGAGCCGATCTGTGGCAAAGAGGATAATGGTAAAGTAAAGAGAGATACGAGGGACACCTTCTCCTGAGGGGCCCAAGCAAAACAACGGTACTTTCCCCTTTTCTGCCCCAATCAAAATTTTAAAGTTTCTAAGTACTGTACATTAACCTCTGTACCAGACTTAAGTGCTTAGTTCAGGGTTATCTGACTTAATGGCTCAAAACCCTTGGCAATGATGGGAAAAAAACATGTGGGAAAAATGGTTGTGCGGTAGACCATAGATGTACACTACAAGACTGACCGACGTGAACCGACTATGACCGACATGCATGAAACAAAGGGCCACTTGCAAGATGAGCCGTGGTGTGCTGTGGTGTCCCGGCGGTCGTAATACAATGGAGTGAAAATTGTGTGATTTCTCAAGGTGGGCCATGGTGGTACCCGACTGTCATTTGTTGTAACTACGTCATCGTGGTATAGTCGGGTGTACCAACTGGCGGAAGACTTGGAGGTTGGTACCCGTGACCATCAAAACATTGGCGCTTTAAACTTTTCCCGGGAGGAGGCACCAGCATGGCTAATGTGAATATTTGTCTATTTTCTTGGATTATAAGCCAATTTTGGGTATGAAATACGATTACATAAGTGAATATGGGTAAATAAGGCTGATAACAAAGAATTCAGTTTGTCACTAGAGAATTATGGCCGGGTCTGTGGATGAAGTCAGTAGAATATACCAAAGTATTATGCATTATATATTACAACAGTTATGAACAGAATTAGTGACAGCACTTCTGCGCTAGCGAGGCTCAAATTACCCTCCCCCTCCTCCCCTGCCGCCGGGCTAGAACAAACTGATGACATCCGTGTCAGGTTTATTTGGATCCCGTCACATATAGGAATAACTGCCTGTGACACTGTTGATCGACTTGCCAAAGAAGCTACACAAGAAGAAGATATTGAAGCCACTCTCGCCCTCTCCCTGAATCATCTCAAATCTCGCATACACGCCACACAACGAGAGGCATTCAACGAAAATTGGACACACCCGAAACAACGGGGTAGCATCACACTATGCCACTATGACGCTGTAACCGGTGACGACAACCGCCACTACAAAGAGTATCAAT